ATTAGTTTTGGATACTCTTAATACACACGTTCGATCATTCGTGTCTTGGATTAATTTTCATCATTTTTATAAGTATACCTATACATAAATTATTAAACACTTTTTACATATATTTGGACATCTTTAGAAAGTATGTGTGCAGTGTTGCTTAAAATTGATATTATAAACTACAAGAAAAAAAAAGTTCAAGTCGGCTGTTCAAAAAGTTTATAGTCACCTAAGAAACCTAAAAATGATGTTTTTTTAATATACATGAATGGCTATAAATTGAAGATATATTGCATTTACATTTTAAAACAATGGATTTTATTATTGCTGTTGCGTTAAAAAAATTTATAATTTATTAGGAAAATGTTCTTTATTTAACATTACAGACAACATAATATATAATATTATTAATATTTAGAACAAAGGTATCAAAAATCATATTTATTAAGAGCTAATATGTTGTTTTAGAGTTAAATTCTTTTTTTAATAATTTGTGAAATATTCTCGCCATACAACCGAGAATTAATTGAAGTTTTAAAGAAAAAAAAATTTGTTTTTAGTTACAGAAAATGTACACACTTTAGATTATTTATGACCCAAAGGTGAACTTTGGAGTTAAAGAATATGCACGAATTGAGGCCGGTAAACAAAACTTGTTCTCTAGATGCAAAACTTTTTTTAGCAATAGAAAAAAGACCGATATTTAACCAGGGGCTCTTAGCCCCTGGTCAAATGAATAATAATAATATAATAATAAGTTATATTAATTAGAGTGAGTAGAAGTCATAAAATTTCGAAAAGCTGCGTTTTTTTGCTACATTTTTAAAATTGGAACTTGTACACGCTCACATATTTTAAAAGGAAAGAGAGAGAGAGAAAAGAGAGAGAGAGAGAGAGAGAAAACAAGATATATGCGAAGTGCAAAAGGTGTAACCTGTGACGAACACATCTTGGCAATTTAATGACGCGCCACGTTGTGCGCGAGCTTTATTAGTATAGGATTGTGCTTTTCACTTTCATATTTTCCCCTGTGTATATATACGCTACGCGACCATACGCGACGATTATTAAGAATTATGTACTAAATTTCTCCCAGTGTTACGCATTATCATCATTAACACATGAGTACTGCCGAGAAGGAGGCGATGGAGGAGTACGAACCTTCTATCAGGAACGTGATCGAGCAACATTCTTTACGATGGATATTCGTGGGTGGCAAAGGCGGAGTCGGAAAGACAACCTGCAGGTATACATAACCTGGAAATGTCGCGTTAGTCAATCCCGGTGATGGGAATCAATAAAAAATCCCGTTTAATGAGTATGTTCTCATCAGATCAGCATATCAGCTGCAGCCTCGCCTTCTGTGTGCAATTGCGTCCATTAATTTTACTTTATTTTCTGTCGTGTCATTGCACTTAATAAAGTTATTATGTATATAATTATATAATTTTATATAACATTTATATATATATTTAGATATACAATTATATATTATATATGAATTTTATATATATATATAAATAATTATATATATATTATTCTCACATAATTATTTTAATATAACAAAATTTTATTCTTATAAATCTCTGATATTTTTTTCAAAAAATTATGAAAAATATTCTGCAATAAACCAATTAGATTTTTCTTTAAATATTATTTTTTTATGGATTTTTCTTACAATAAAGTAAATGTTCTTGTACTATGTATCCAACATATACATTGCTACTTTTTAAATAAAAAAGTAGTTAGACTAATCTAAATCTTTGTTTTACAGTTGTTCCCTGGCAGTACAGCTGTCCAAAGTTAGGGAAAGTGTACTTATTATATCTACAGATCCAGCGCACAATATTTCTGATGCATTTGATCAGAAATTTAGCAAAGTACCTACTAAGGTAAAGAGTTTTGATAATTTATTTGCAATGGAGGTCGACCCTAATGTTGGCATTACAGAATTACCAGAAGAATATTTTGACAGTGAAACAGGTTTGTCTTTGAAACACTTTTATTTTGGTCCAACATCCATAAGTCATTTTAGATAAACAGTTTTGTTAAGAATTATGAATAATACAAAACATAATTTATCAAATATTGGAACAAAATATATATAAAATATATAATTAAAATTAATATATAAATAAAATGATATATAGTAATAAATATTACAATAATTGCTATGCAGTTGAAGTAAAAGAAATAATATATTACTTGCAAAGTTTTAAAGAAATTTTCTACTATGTTATATACTCATTATATTATAGTTATATAGTGTGTCTATTATATTAAATACATTAGACATATCATGTGCAGTTTCAGGAGGAGAAGCAATGAAATTAAGCAAAAATGTTATGCATGAAATTGTCAGTGCATTTCCTGGTATAGATGAGGCAATGAGTTATGCGGAAGTTATGAAGTAAATTTACAATTTTTTTATATTTCTTAATTTTTATGAAATACTAATAATATAATAAGCTCTCTTTGTAGTAGAACTAATATCGTAGATACATCTGAAATATATTTTTTATTTTCGTTTTTTATTTTGATATCTTTATATGATGATTCTAGGCTTGTAAAAGGAATGAACTTTTCTGTTGTGGTGTTTGATACTGCACCTACTGGGCACACGTTAAGGCTACTATCGTTTCCACAAGTGATTGAAAAAGGATTGGGAAAATTGATGCGTCTAAAAATGAAGATTAGTCCCTTTATCACACAAGTTAGAATTAATCCATTATTTGATCTAAAAAAAAATTAATACTTATCAAGTATATCAAATATTGTTCCTGTATTATTTAAATTGAAAAAAGATTTTTCTATTATAGATAAGTTCATTGTTGGGATTAACGGATTTTAATGTGGATACATTCTCTAATAAAATGGAAGATATGCTTGCCGTCATTCAGCAAGTTAACGAACAGTTCAGAAATCCTGATCAAACGACTTTTATATGTGTTTGCATAGCAGAATTTTTGTCGCTTTATGAGACAGAACGACTTGTACAAGAATTAACAAAATATGGTATCGATACCCATAATATTGTAGTGAACCAACTATTATTTTTAAAAGAAGGAGATACTCCTTGTCGGCTGTGTCTTGCAAGGCATAAAATTCAAGATAAATATTTAGATCAGGTAACTAATATTGTATTTATGAGTGATATTATTGAAATTTATTATTTTTCGAAATTTTTTTTAAATTTTAGTCATATTTTATCATTTTGTCAAAGCACAAATCAGATAAAGTACAAGATAAAATTCTCGAAAGCTAAATTAAATACTTTTTTCCTTTTAAGATAATGGATCTTTACGAAGATTTTCACGTTACAAAGCTTCCGTTATTAGAAAGGGAAGTACGAGGAGTTCAACAGGTCAGGGAATTTTCGGAAAATCTCGTTAGACCGTACAAACCTTAGCATTTATGTAATAAATGTTTAATAACAATATAACACTTTACACCTAATTCAAGGTTTTTATACACTTGCAACCTCGCGCGTTGGAAATTTGTATAAAAAAAAAGGTACACCTTTAATATACTGCTCGATTAAGATATTTGTTATTGCACGTGTTAATAAATTCAATGTTACATTCGCATGCACTATATATTTGCAATATCTAATTTGTATAATACAAATCAGTTTAAACACATAGCATTAATATTACGATTTATTTATTTATATAATATATGAAACAACACATTGGAGAAACTGAAACTTATCATTTAGCATATTGAAATCAATCATTCAGTTTTTGTTTATTGTTACCGACGAGGTATTATTCTTATCGGTGATGTTATCAAAAATATATTTATTAAATTACCGCAAATTCTTTTCCAATTTGTATGAAAGCATTCACAGCACGATCTATATCTTCAGTCGTATGCGCTGCGCTAATCTGAACACGTATTCTTGCTTTATCTTTTGGTACTACAGGATAGCTGAATCCAATGACGTAAATTCCTTTTCCTATAAAAACCATTTTCGTACAATGTGACAGAATAAATTATAAAACTTTAATAACACAACATGAACTGTTATATATTTTGTCATTGATAGTTTTTATTCCTTTAGACTCTATAATTTAAATGAAAAGATTTTATAATTTATATGAAAATATATACATACCCATCATTTTATCAGCAAATATTGTTGCTAATTTTGCGTCACCTAACATAACAGGACAGATAGGGTGATTATCGCCACTGATAGTGAAGCCAGCCATGGTCATCGCATTTCTGAAATGCTCAGTATTGCCTGCTAAACGATCCAAAAACTTTGTGCTATCCGTTATAAGATCCATCACCTAATAACGTTATGTTAATTTAAATTATAAATGTTTAAATGTTTTAAGATGTATACTGTTTACAGGAACGCTGAGTAATTATATATATAAGTATGATACACAACACTTTACCTTAATTGCCGATGCAACTACAGATGGAGGTATTGAATTCGAGAACAGATATGGTCTACTTCTTTGTCTTAGCAAACTTACAATCTCTTTTTTACTAGTTGTGTAACCACCTGCCGCTCCTCCAAGAGCTTTTCCTAACGTAGAGTTAATGATGTCAATGTCTCCCAGATGATCAAAATATTCCTCTGTACCTCTGAATCACAATGAAATAAAATTAAATTAAATCGGAAAATAATATCAATCGTAAGCAGATGTGAGATCTTGCAAATACCTGCCGGTTTTACCAAAAAATCCTGTGGCATGGCAATCATCTACGAATGTGATAGCGTCATATTTTTTTGCAAGCTCGATTATTTTCGATAATGGTGCAATAGTACCATCCATGGAAAATACTCCATCAGTTGCAATAAGACGCAATCGTGCTGACTTACTTTCTTGAAGTTTATTCTCCAAATCCGTCATATCTCTGTGTTTATATCTTGAAATGAAAAGGGAATAGCTTAACAGATTAAATCAACAGTAACAGAAAAACTTGGCTGACGAATCTTAACTGAACAAGATTTACCTATATCTTTTCGCTTTGCACAATCGTATCCCATCAATAATAGACGCATGATTTAGCTCATCACTTATTACCGCGTCATCGGTAGTTAATAAAGTTTCAAAAATACCAGCATTTGCATCAAAGCAAGACGCATAAAGTATCGTATCCTCCCTGCCATGAAACTTGGCAATTTTCCTCTCTAATTCAATATGTATCTCCTGTGTCCCGCATATAAATCTTACGGAACTCAAACCAGCACCATATTTATCCAGTGCAATCTTTGCTGCGTTGATAACATCCTTGTTATCCTACATTTAATAAAATCTCGCATCATCCAATTTTTATAAAAAATATATTTATATTCCATTATTTACAAAAATTTCATATTGCGCATTTGCTAGTGTTAATATTGATTTATTGTTTCCGTTTTACCGCTAGACCAAGATAATTATTGGCACAAAAATTGAGCGCTTTCTTTCCATTTGATAGTGTGATTTCCTTTCGTTGAGGCGAAGCAATTATGCGCTCATTTTTCCATGTACCAGCTTTGACTACAGCTACTAATTCAGACTGTACGCAAGCAACTAAAGAACTCTTTGTCCTGCTAGTAATCCGTTTGACATCTTGAAATTTGAAAACTACACGAAAAATCAAGTTACACAATTTTAAATACTATTTTGCAAATAAGTTATAAAAATAAACATACTTTTAAAATTGTTGTACATATTACGCGCAGAATCATTTACCAGTTTGGACTTAGTTAGATGCAGGCAGATAACTGATATATTTAGAAAAAAAAATGCCATAGAATGGTCTTAAAGTAGTCAAACCGGTTTTACACTTCAGATGTAATAGCATATCGCACTAAGGATATCTTCGAACTATTACTGCACAATTCCGTCTGAACATTTAACAAGACATATGCAAAACATATTATGATATAAATTTTTAATTTGATGTTTTTTCAATAGACTAGTACAAATACAATCATAGATGATGGCATAAAAATAAAGAATTCTAAATGGATTTATTAAACAATTTCAATTATCATTTTCCAATATGATTTATCAGTAAATTTTTTATAAATATATATCTTATACAAAAGTGCTGTTTCATTTGTGTGTTTTTGTCGTATGACAAATGTATCTAGGACAGAGGTCTTCGGATCTATCTATCCTACAGCCAAACAACAGGCTTGAAAAACTTATCATACGACAAAAACACAACAAATGAAATAGCGACTTAATACTGTAAAATTGCAGGTTCTACGAAACGCAAAATTTTCATCAAATTTAAATATTTTGTGATTTTTTAATCTCTTTTTAGCTTTAAGGAATAAATCAATATATTAACAGGGCATATATAACATATACACATATACGTATGCATATACATATGTATGTACATACATACTATATATATAATAAAAATTTTTAAACAAAATTTATTCTCAATTTATATATATTTCATTTTTACCGTTTTGAAATAATTTTATGTAAATTTCTTAATTTCTATTTATACCTTTATATTTATTTATTTGATTTATAGTATTTTATTATATAATTTATAATAACACATTAAGTACTCCATTTTTTTTTCTTTAACATATCGCATATATTCTAAATTCCATAAACAATATGATTGGAAACAAGACCGTCTATATAAATATTACCACTTTAAATACAAAGCGCCTTCCCGGTCCGAGTGTTAAGATGTTGAACTACTATCTAATATACATTCAATTAAATTAAATTAATATTTCAGAAATAAATTGAGAGCCGATGAAATTATCGGATTCACACAATCAATCTGAAACAAATAATCCCCCCAAATTCTCCCAAATCTTAAAAAACTGTAATAAACTTATTGCGAAAAATATTGAACCGAGGCAATATTTTTCGCAATAAGTTTATTACAGTTTTTTAAGATTTGGGAGAATTTGGGGGGATTATTTGTTTCAGATTGATTGTGTGAATCCGATAATTTCATCGGCTCTCAATTTATTTCTGAAATATTAATTTAATTTAATTGAATGTATATTAGATAGTAGTTCAACATCTTAACACTCGGACCGGGAAGGCGCTTTGTATTTAAAGTTGCTAAATTCCATAGCAAAAATGATTATGAATAATACTTTGTCAAAACATTCATTTCATGTTAAAGATTAAAATAAAAAAATTATTGTCACAGTTTGTAAATTATTTGTATCAATAGGAAGAAAAGTAAATTATAAAGTTAAAAAATTTTATTTCTATACTACAGATCAACCAAAAAAATTTTGTACGGATTTTAAAAATATAAAGAAAATTTTTACACATTCCATTCCTGTCCATAACATTCCATTAAAATTAAAGTTAATTAATTGAAATTGAAGTTGAAATACTTTCTACTCTTTTTGGTTGAACTTACATATATGTGTATATATTTTATTTAGATATATATATATATATATATATATATATGTATATGTATGGTATACATATATTTATCTTTTATGAAGTTATGTTTTTCCTATATTCTCTTTTTCTATAAATATATTTTTATATATGCAACAATAAATTAAATACATGAGATCAGAAAATTTGATTAATCATTAAAACAAAAACTTGAGTTTATTTCTAGTTCATGTTCTAGAATGTTAAAATCAATGATTACTATCATCTTTGATAAATGCAGACTTAAAATGTTATTAGATATGTTACATTAGATTTTATAGCTATTTATATGTTTCCATATAACAAATTTTCCAATTTTTACATTCTCACTTGTAGTCTAATATTTCACTTTCACTATTTGATCGTTCATAACTTACAGTCTTTATCACTTTTCACAACACTTAGAAAGCACCTAATTATAAGAAAATCTAATTTTTCTTCGTGTACTAAATTTTGTTATTGCTGGAAGTAGTTAACAAAGGACACCGACATGCTATTGAGCATTATAAACTTTGACATGGACTGCCGCCAGTAGTCAATTTCATACGTGTCGCCAAGCTAGAAGATTAGGCTCCGTCCCGGACAGTAATTTTCTGTGGGGGTGGGTAGCTTTGACTATAGTATATGCACGTTTACGGTGTGCAACGGTCAGTAAAGGTCTCTGCTCCTTGAGCAGAGTATTCAAAGGATTTTAGAATCCATTAATTTGATACTGTGATTCTGTACTTGAGTCGAAAAATCAAATAAGGGGAAAATAAGAAGAAAAAGAAAAAGAAGAAGAAGAAGAGGAAGAAGAAAGGGAAGAAGAACAAGAACGGCCAGTAACGGTGTTTACTACAAAAAGCAACTTTCACATTTAAACCTGCCAATCTTTACTGTTCGGGGTGGAGCCTAACAATCTTCAGCCAACTTCAGTTCGGCGACACCGAGAGTATGCATTTCCTATAGAAAAAATGAGGAACTAATAGTCCATGTGTTTATAGTCAAAGATTAAATACGCATAATATAGTTATTTTATAATTAAAAATTCATAAAATAAATATATACACACATACAAATAAATATATACTTGGATTTAACTTTCCCCTAGCAAATACTTATAAATACGCATAAGTATATATATAATAGATTTGGAGTACTTTAGAGGAAATTATTTAAGAACTAGTCAACTTTCTTACAATATAAATCGATTATTTAACATTACTGGATATTGATATTCAAAAAAAGGCTCAGATTTCTTTGTTTGTAAAAATAGGGTTCACGTCGTCTTGCTCTTTGCTGAAAGTCGCGTTGCCAGAGCATAAGCATGTGGAAAATTATGCACAATCATGTACAATATTCCCAAGTACAAACTTATGCCGATAGTAAGAAAGAGATCAAACACAGCCGGTTTTACACTACAAATAAAATAAAAATCGATTACATATTACATAATCAGTGTCATAAATTATGAATAAATATGTATATAAAAAATACCAGGTACATAATAATACGTATATAAAAAATACACTTCACCTATATACATTCAGAATTGCTTTTGTAACATCATAAAACACAAATTCTGGATCTTGTTTATCAGGAGTGTGAAAAGTAACTTTCACATCCCCCAAATATCTCGCCATTGCTTCTTTCAAAGTACCAACTAGTAAATTGTTTTTATCTGCTAATAATGATGCTGCTCTTGGTTGAGAAGCAAAGTAATTAAACCATAAAGAGAGTGATTCTTTTGATACATCCTGTAAAGAAAGTTAGATTAATTATTGTATTTAAAAGCATATATATTGTTGCATAAATAATATTCAACAATACTTAATTGATAAATATGTGTGTGTGTGTGTGCGCGCGCGCGCGCGTGTGTGTGCGTGCGTGACAAATTAGAATTATAAAATTATTTTTTAATATACTCTAATATTTTTTAAATATTCCAATATTTTATTTTCTTATATTTAAAATAAAAAGACAATACGACTAAGAACATAAAAATAAAATACAGTAATAATTATAGTAATAAACGTACCAATGGACCAACAAATATTTGACTAGAACTCAAGTTATATATATGACGCGCCAATGCTTCCGATACAATTTGGGTATGCTTATATAATCTATCTACTTGTCCGTCTTTAGAGACATCTAATATAGTAGTTCGAGTTGAATCTTCGTGACTTTTTAATGTAGATAATATAGCAGCTGGCAATCTTCGAATGCTGTATCTTTCGTGTTCCCAAGCTAATGTCTCTTCTGCAAGATTTATCTTTTTGTGCACACCATCAACATTGACAGTATTGAATGATTGCGAAACGGTTTTAAGTTCTTTGTAAAACAAACCACCCGATGAATTCTCCTTAGGCGGTTTCGACACATGCACATATAAATTATTGCTAGCGGAAACTGTATCAAGGCATATTACATAAGCTGCATCCTAAAAATTTCAAATATTAATTATATTATAGACAATTTATAATTATAATATTAATAAAAATAAATGAAAAAATTATTCATAACATTAATATTATGATTGAATTACCTGTATAACAGAACCTTCAACTCCATCCAATTGATCTTCCAACCATTTCTTACTACCTTGATAATTTAATTTACCAGCTCCAGTTGTGATAAAAACAAGGTTATATTGTGGTCTTGTCCGACCAGTGGAGTATAAAGCAGAGAACAGTCTTGCTATTTCTAGTAGCATAGCTACACCGGAAGCATTACTGTCCGCACCGAATGACAATTCCTACAACAGCATCATATATATAAGCATATATATATCAAACCTTATGAATATCATAAATAATGTAAGAAATAGTGAAGCTCATTTCACTTACAGGTGCCACACCAGTACTATCATAATATGTCACTATCGCTATGGTAGGTAATTTCTCTTCCGTACCAGTTCCAGTTAATTTACCATGTAACGTGGCAACTTTAATATCTGTTTTAGGAAGTGCTTGCCCAGTGGTTACTACCACTTGGTAACCACTAGCTGAAATTGAATTGTATATAGCTTCCGCTGCCGAACCAGCCTTTTCATCCGTGATAAAACCACCCGCAATATCATCTAAAATTATTTGAAGTTCTGAATGCCATGGTGCAAAGTACACTGGTATCATCGTCTCAGAACCATACATCATCGACTCTTCTAGACTCATAATGTGCTAAAATTAATATATCATTAATTTACTTTAACTTGTAATAAACAAAAATTTATAAAAACTGTTTTTTTTTTTTCAAAGTTTTTTGAACCTTTGATGCATACATTGGTCCAATAAGTGAAATGAAATAGACTATATTTGTTTTACTCTACCTTATTGTACCAGTATATGTAAATTATAAGCCTCTATTCTCTTTATATAAGCTTTTTGTAATTTTATATTAGAAATAAAACGAGAAAAGATGAACTGTGCAAGAAGTTTAACTAAAAAGAACAGACTTTTTTTCGAAAAAACCAAGCCCTAAGCCTTTACATCCTTATTTTAAAATAAATATTTTAGAATACAGTAAAGTGTTAATCCTATTACTAACTTGCTTTTCTTCTGTCGTAAGTTCACTTATTTTCTTGGGTAAAACAATCACCAATGCACCAGCCTTACTTCTAATGGACTGGAAGACGGACGGTGTAATATCCAGTATTTTCGCAACGACGCAGTGTCTAGAGGTACTCCAGCCAGCTAGAGACCTCGCCTCCAAGGAAATGGGTGCGCTTCGGCAACCTAATAAACATTATCAGTACGTTTCATTGAGAATCGAGATGTCGATCTTCAGATAGATTGTCACTGATAAACCTGATGTCTTACCATGTGGAACTCCGTGCAGATCGTACTGATGCATACGAAACACGGGAAACTCATGAGAGGCGGTCACCGGGTTCACCGGGGAGATGATGATAAAGATCGGCAAAACTATTAGAAGATAATATGGCAAATATCCCCGGCATAGCTCAGCGAAACTGTCGCACTCCTCTAGCCACATATTTTCACCGAGAAAATTGATCGACTCAAAACAGAAATGCGGTTCTCGCGCAGTTTTGTTGATCTAAATGGCTAAGTAAGCCCATCGACGAATTCACAGCTATTCGCGGCTCTCGACCCGTGAAATAATGATGACCGGCACCAGAGACACCAGAGATGACCAGAGAAAAACTTAAGAACCATTGAAAATCTCTGACTTGAGCTGAGGGGCCATCCTGATGTTTTATGTAGACGTCGAATCACCCATACACTAGCGCCAGTACATCCATTTTTTATTTGAAAACTACGTAGCTATGTATTGATGATAAAATAGATCGAAAATAGATATGCGAAAATAGATGTGGTGCGAGTTCACGTTAGTTGCAGTGCTAAATGACGTGCTAAATTGCTTTAGCAAGTATAATATAAATTATGTAATTTATGGATCATTTAGGTTTGATTGCACCAACATTACTTTGATTTTAAGCGAGGCTTAAAACTCTCTTTGTCTGTCTCTTTTTCTTTAAAACGAGACAAATAGCGTTTTCGGCCCGACCGAGTTTGCATCAACTTGGTTAATGTAATGTTTCGTACTCTCCTATTAGTAGAGCATGTAACGTCAACCAATAGCCAAACATTTTCCAACCTAAGTTGGTGCGAACTCCGTTGAGCCGAAAAAGCTAAAAAGGAGTTTTAAGCATGGTGGAAGGAGTAACTTGATGTGTGCAATTTGCAAGCATCTCTCTCTGAATCTCCGCCGTCTCTGTCTATAAATGTCGATAAGAGACTAAGGCTGCCAATTGCGTAATGCTAAAAAAAACGTGGGGCGATATTCATAATCCGTTTTTATTTTAAAACTATCTTAAATAATGCCTTAAGATGCTAATACAGTCTTTGGATTGACTTATGACATCTTAAGACTGTACAGTCTTAAATGCAAGAATCGACTATAAATACCGGTCTGTACGCATAAGCATAAAACATGAGACATAAGAAAATCAACCAATCAGAATCCTTTATTTCACAAGGGTTTAATCCGGATCAGAATGTAAGAACCAACCAACTACAGTCGAGCATTTCCCTGTCGTTCGACTGTAGTTGATTAGTTCTTACATTCTGATTCGGATTAAACTCTCGGAAACTAGACCAGTGATGGACTTTGACTTTTGGCCCCGAGCATTATCTCTAGAGACTCTAGTTATATTTTAGCAGCGCCACTCGCTATCAAAATCGAAGTTTTTGATTTGATTTTTCCGTGAAAGAATTGATCAACAAATTTAACCGAGATACGAAATCGATCCAAAAAACCGAAAATCGAGATCAAAAAGATCGATTCTTCAAAAGATCGATCTGAATCGCCCATCTCTAGCCTGCGCACTTTCGCAAAGCGACTCTTCGACGTTCTCTCTTATAAAAATGTATGTAAAATATGATCAGATAATTTGCTTTATGCATATGTTTATGCGACTATGCAAGTTGTGTGAGTATAAAGTGAGATTTAAAAATCGTGGTATATTATCGGGTGTATAAGTATATACCATACTCTTCACAATAATACAATTCTTTTGTGTGCTTTATTAAGATTGTGATTTATATATCTTGAGAATGATTAAAATATTTAAATCGTTTACAATCTAAATAATATTATGTCACGCTATATAATCAGTTTTCCATAACATTTAAATATATGCGTAATAGTCAATATAATGATAATTCAGTTACATGCGTATTTCGCAATATTTGTTCAGCCAAAAATTAAGACGTATACTTAGCGCGATTCCGCGCCGTTACGTCGCGTCGCATTTGGCGCATGAAGTTGATCGCGATTCGCGCACTGGGGACGAAATTGCTTCATCTCCAGCGCGCGAATCGCGATCAACTTCACGCGCCAAAAGTGACGCCGACGGCGAACACGGAACAGACCGGCTCCGAGAATGGCAGCGCGAATCGATCAAGTGCTAAGGTTAAATCTGTATTTGTTACTTATTACGATATTTCAAAACGTAATTGTAGATTCGGTATTCACCAAGAACAGGGTGTGTATTAATTGCCGCTATCGCGTTATTCTTGGCGCGTGAAGTTGATCGTGTGGGAGACGAACCTCTTCGCCATGTTTGATTACATTTACGTAATACTTTCAAAACGCGGCAAAATGCGGGTTTACGAGATTAATCAGTTCCGAAACAAATAGCAACGCGATTCGATTAAGAGGTAATTAACATTTATATTAAATTTGTATTTGTCGCTTATTTCAATATTTAATTATCACGTAATTATATACAAGATTCGGTATTCGCCAAGAGTAAGACACGCATTGCATCGCGCCGCCTGCTGTCGCGTCACTCTTGACGTGCAAAGTTGATAGTACGGGAAAAAAGCCGTTTCGTCATATTAATAGCATTTATTTCTCATTTACAGAACATGTTGACGCGGCGGACATTCATCAGCTACAGAATGAATGCCACGAATGGAATTGTTAGTCATTTAATTGGTAAGCGAACCTACAACTTTGCATTTGTTATCATTTACTGCAATAATTGACCATCACGTAATATACATACAGAAGATTCATATATATAAATACACTGTTCGAATCATATATTTCACAATACTCGTTCGATCGAAAATCATGAGGTGTAACACTGCCGCATCGCTTTTGGCGCATGAAATTAATCATGCAAGACAAAGTCGCTTCATCATATTAATAGTGTTCACTTTTCATTTATAGAATATGACAGGCACAGGACGGATCGGCTTTGACGCTGAGACGCGTGACATCGCAACGCAAACTGGTAAGCAAAACTTATAACTTTCAAACAAAACAGTAACTTTCCATTTATTTTCAATAATGTTTAAATATTGCGCAAAATATTGTCGATACTTTGCTAATGAATTCACTGCGCATATGCAAAAAACTCGATCTATATCTGAATGCGATCTTATCATCAATACGTAGCTATAGTATTTTCTAATTGTAATTATTTACTTAAAGAGAGAAAAAAATGTAATATATTTCAATAACTTTTAAAATTGGTATTTTAGTATAAAATGGCATCATAAATGTTTTCATATTTATTTTCGTAATTATTGTTTATGCATAATAGCCATAAAATTTCATTAATTTTTTTCTTGTTACAAATGTTTTCAGAATCTTTCTTTAAACACTTATAAAACCCAATTAAAAGCATGTGAAGTGTAATTATTTTTTTATAAAGCTTTCAATTTTTTTATAAAGTTGCTATTAAAATTGTTTTTTTTTTAATAAAATTGCTATCAAAATTATTTTTTTTATAAAATTGTTAAAATTGTTCTTTTTAAGTTTTTAATGTAAATCGCGCCAATACATAACTACGTAGTTCCTAAATCGAAAATGGATCTACTTTGTTAATCATCGACGAGATATAACTATTAACAGAAACGGTCTTGGTAAATTTTTATGATTATCAATAGTGCAGGAGAGTCCAGATGTAATTGAAAAACGATATCATTATTGACAATCGATATAAATTTGTTAATTATTAACAGAAATATTTAAATAATATATAATTAAATTTATGATTTTTTTATCATATAAATGCTGCGTAAATAATTATGCATGGCATAATTGTTATACTATAGTATCTCATATATTGCCGCAGAATTATAACTTTTTTCTCCACAATTATAAAATTCAATAATACTCGATATTTATTTAAAACTGTAATTTTAATGTCTGAGTTTGATTATCATTTCTATTGATAATCAAACTTAGACATTAAAATCACAGAGTATTATTAAGTTTTAAACATATATACATCTATGAAACTAATAAACTAATCATAAAATCAATAGTATATAATCAGTTTCTTATTCTTAGATTTCGATTGCACTAACACATTACTTTGATTTTAAGCGAGGCTTAAAACTTTATCTCTTTCTCTCAGCTTTATAAAGAAAGAAAGAGAGTTTTAAATCTCACTTAAAGTCAAAATAATGTTGATGCAATCGAGCCTTAATCACTTAAATCTTAATAAAGATGATGAATATGAATTCTCGTAAGAATATCAGTATTTTATAATAGATCTTTACTCTTGCACATCCGTTTACTACCATTTATCTACTGATTATTCAACTATATCAAGGTTCTCGAATCTCCCGACTGATAGCGCGTCGATACAATCTTGTAATTTTGTTATCAAGTGCAGCCCAAGTCTAGCAGAATAGACTTTATCCAGAATCATTTCTTTTATTTTTCAATAAAAACAAGTTTTCCAAAATTGTATATATTTTTGTTTCAAAGAAAGTTAATGCAATTCTCCGCAATCACGGCAATTAAATATTTACACAAAAAATAATATGATCGTCTAGAATTGATGTTTAATTTAAAGCTCTGTATAGTATACTAATAAAAAAAAATTTAGTAAAAAAAAGAATTGAAATTTTCCAATTCCAACAACATAAAAAGCATTATTTATCGTTTAAAGCAATTATGGACGTTTCCTCAGAAAAATTAATAATGCTTTATATGTTATATCAAGCATTCAATAAAATATTTTTTTAATATTGCTGCT